GCCTGTTAGAAGTTTTACAGCATCATAACATTGAATCTCATAGAATGTTTTGATTAAAAACGTGAAATCATTGGAATTAATTTTATCTTGTTCGAAAAGAGATTGTATAATCGAAAGAGTGCCATATAATGATAGATCATCTCCATATTTTTTTGGAACATCATTATATAAGAAAAAATGTAAACGGTGACGATCATCACCACTAAGGCGTTGTTCTACTTTTAAAATAGCAGCGCGTAAATCACGATCATTCATTGGTTTTATTTGATTCTTTTTATTTTCAATGGAAGAAAATTTACTTTGCTCGGCAGCGTAATACTAGATAGGAATGAGTCGTAAATAGCGTAGAATAGATAAAGTAAAAAAAGCTTCTTCTATTATGGCGGAGAAAGAAAGGGTTATCAATAAGAGAAATAACATCAAAACGATAGGATGAGACAAATGAAAGGAAAATCGAAACCAAATATAATACATAAAAGAAATACGAGAACAACATCATTTGTGTGAATAATTTCATTTTTTATATCGTCAGAAGTACAGTAAGATGCAAAAATATCAGTGTGAAGTAGGCACGAAGGAGCTGGCGCGAACAAACGATGTGTTAGCTGAAAACGTTTTTACTAAGTAAGTCCCGTTCCTGAAAATTACATCGTTCAACTCAGAACTAAATTCTGCATCGAATAGTGATGTTTCTACTCACGAGACAAACTTTGGAAAAATTTTATTTGGATCATAAATAGACCAATAGAAAACAAGCAAATATATAAGTATATAAACATTTTTCCAAAGTTCGTCCCGCGAGTAGAAACAGCAAAGTAATGTTGCACATTTGATTTGAAAGTCTATGCATAAACAACACATGCAACTCAAAAATTCATTCCTTAACATGAATGAATTTTCCGAAAAATACATAATCTATCGGGATTTGTGAAATAATATCTGGGAATGAGATGACATTGAATGTATACATCCAACAGAAAAGAAAGACAAATAACTAGAATTCAGAGCTTAACTTGAGAGCTAACATGACTCAATTTGACTCGATTTGAACATTTCCTACAAGTCAAGTCACAAGTCGAATATAGAAAAACGATGCAATTTTGGACTTTATTCATCTAACTTTTGTGTGATTAACACTGAATATCAATACTAGAGCGAAAATGAAGAAATATTTCGATGAAATACTTATAAACAGCTGGAAAAGTATCGATACATAATAATTTTTTATATGAATTATTCTAGATAGCGTTCGGAAATATATGACTTGATATCAAGTCTGACTTAAATTGACGAAACCTCTGACTTGCCCATCTTTGCTAGAATTCAATCAGTTTAGCAACATTCCATCAGGCATCTGGTGCAAATGAACTTTACCAGTACTGAGTACACAAGGCAAGTAAAACGTACATGTACGTGTACTACACAAATGTACTATGTACTGAGAATTTTCAAGTGCAAAGTACGAATAGTGCCAAGTCCTGTACTCAATCACTGATAAAAAAGCTCTTGAATATCATAAAAAATCTCGGAATATCAAACAGAAGTTGCTTAAAGCTAATCATCCTAGTTTAACTAACACATACAACAACATTTCGTCAGTCTATCAAGATATGCAAGAATATTCCAGAACACTTGAATTTTATGAAAAAATGCTCGTGATCGATCGAACTAGTTCTCCTGAAAACCATTCTGATTTAATCGCGACATTCTTGGAAATCCAAGAGTTTCCGAAAGTATTATCTTTCTACGAAGATGCGCTAGAAATTGTAAAAAAAAATTCGTTACAATCAGATCTTTCCAATCTATAAGAGCATGAGGAAAATCTACAGACTCTCAAGGCAAGTCTAAAGAACTTAAATAACTGATGCATGATTATTTATTAGAGAAAAATCGAATGAATGATTAATATAATAAGGTGGTAATGATATTGATGGTAGTACTCCGATATTTTTCGTTTTTAATCTTAAGCAAACATGTAGAATACAATCATTTTCAATTATACCAATTACATAAGCACTCGAGCCTTTTGGACATAAATCATAACTTCCATTCAATTTTATTGTTGTTTGACATGAAAACATTCCAGCAAATTTCGGTAAGTTATGTACATTGGAAATATGTTCAGCATGACAAACATCAATATCATTAATAATTCGTACTGGTGTATATTCTGAAGGACATGATTTTGTATTTGTTATTAAATTTATTTTATTCGTCGTAAATGAACCTCCGAATGTATATTGTGTTAATAAAGCATTGCTAATTTTTGTACAACTGTACAAATATGAAGTGACTATTCCTGTACCTAAATAGATCGTACGATGACATCTTTTTATTCCGAATAAGCCACATTTATATGAATATTGATGCTCAATTCGTTGTGTTCGTGTTAATGTATGTAATAAATTTTGTGTAAAGCCAAGTGGACATTGTTGAGTATTTGTATGAAAATTTGATAATTTAAATGAATTACATAGATCATCTGGTGGAGAAGGAGAACTTCCAGATGTCCATCAGATTTGACAAGTACGAATAAATCCTCCGAACTGTGTATTTGCAACCGTTTCAGCACATGATCCATCATCAATATTCGCTAACCAATTAAATGAAAGTGATGTTCGTTCCATACAACCATAAATCAAATTCATTTTTATATATGTTTCGATTGCATTATTAATTTTTTCAATTGCTTTATATACATAATCTTCTTCAATTTCAGGTATTTGTTTGGGATCAATAGCCATTGTTATATTTTCAATTGTACGTTGAAGTATGATTGGATTTGTTTCAATAGTCATTTGCCAATCTTGTAAAGACATACCAAGAAGAAATGGCTTTCCACCTTCGGAAGTAATATGTCTATACGTAACACGTTCTTCATATTTATTAATATCAATACTCGTTGTACTGACTTGAGTACCATAATTTGCTGATAAACTAAATTTTCCCATAAATGATGCTCGTGCTCCTGACTGTCGACTTTTTCGAACTGTTTCATCGGAATAAAGTTCTGTACTTTTTAAGAAACTTTCTTCAACAATATGTCCACCAATAAGAAAACGACTGGTATAATGCGTTCCATAGCGAAGTACAAAGACTTGAGAATGATATGTAGCCATTGTATCTTCTTCATTTTTAATATAATTTCAGATTTGAATTGTGAATCAAGTGAACATGAACGTCTTAATAAAACATAACGAATTTCATTACGAATTGTCACAATATCTTCACGTCCTTGTTGATGTTTTATTTGTTGATATTGTTCAGAATAGGAAGCAGAAACACCAAATTTGAGAAAACCACCTCCGCCACCTGCTACAGATCGACGTTCGTAACTCGTTGTTGACGAATTATATACATCGATTATTTCCGAATGACTTCTAATTCAGTTTGACGCATTGGAACATGAACAATACATTCTTGCATGAGAGAAGAATTATTCGAATTTTGAACAGAATACACAGGTAACATATCAACAAAACGTAAATGATCCCAACCGTAACCAGGATAAAGATCGATAAGCATACTTTTCATCTCAATCATCGATACAAGTAATAATATGATTATTCTTAATACAATCATTATGTGTCGTCTAGAAAAATAATGTAAGAATGAAGTGAGCAATTTTCTAATTGATATTTATATTCGCCTTATCAGTTGAATATAAAAGTGACAGGTAATAATCATAAATAACATTGTAGTTAACAAATTTACGAGTTTTTTGTCTTCGCTGAAAGAAAATATTTCAATATAACTTGGAAGAAAAAAAAACATCGATTAATAGTAATGTCCGATGAGCGTGTGTGTGTGAGTATTATTTTCTTAACTACACACTCAACGAAGAAAACAAGCTAACTGATGACGCTATTCCAGGAAGGGATCAGCTGTATGATGGAATTATTTGCGCTCCGGAACTATTCATTCAGATATCGATATGATCTAGCCAAGATGATTCTACTTGATTAATCATTAATGCATTGCGTATGTCTCACTCCTTCATCAGTGATTTGATAGTCTTGAAAGTTAAGTGTAGTAATTGTGTACGAGAGAATTCTTCACTGTAGAAGCTTGCAGAGAATATTGCATGTAGTGCGCACCACACACATTGATGTGGTTATTTTAAAGATTAAATACGCGGTCCATATCTACAGTGAATTGAATGAGTGCATATGCTGGTTAATAGAGAGATGATTTCTCAAGAAGAATATACTGCACGTCGGAAATGAAGATGAATCGATACCATTTAATCCATTACTAGCTAAGATTACGTCGTTCTTTTGTAAAAATTCATACTAAAATTTCAATCCTGGACACACGAAAACAATTGTCTTCGATATTGAACGAGTGACATGTCTAAACCGTATAAATTGCTCGCAATTTATTTTCTTCTATAGTGCCATACAAAGATATCTTAGTAACGAAATGTATTAAGTAATGCGTTTGCATTTTGATGATCAGATAGAATAGAATTTATACTCATCACGTGTGTGTGTTTCGAAACAAAATGAAACAATGTTATCCTATGACGAGAAAAGAGATGTTTGAGATCTTCATTGATCGCTTTTTCAACATGAAAATAAGTTCTTTCTTTGTTCTGTCGAATGGTAATAATCATCGATACAATACATTTAATCTTCAAGATTGTTATAAAGAGTCATGAACGACAAAAGTACTTAATTTATGATAGTTTATTAACCTTCTATTTCGGCTATAGTTAAAGAAAAAAAAAAGAAGACAATGAAGAAGTGTCATAAATTTCTTGTCAGTGTGAATTTGTTCTACAAGAAGTCGAATTGATATATCTTGTTTTTCTAATTATAATGTAGTTAAGATAGTATGAAAGATTTGTGATGCTTGTGTCAGTCGTGTAAAATATTTATCTGGATCTCTTGAATTTGCTTCTCGCGTAAGACAATTTAAAAAGTCGTCTCCATAATAAAAATATTGAGATAAATTAAATAAAATTGCCATTAAATAAGGAAATAACCGAAGACCAGCCTTAATAATCAATTGAGGTTTATAATGAA